CCCAAAGACGATGTGGGGCTCAGACTCACAAACCTCGCGATCATGACCTGAGCCCAAGTCCAAGAGTCAGAAGCTTAACCGACTGAGCCACCCAGGTGCCCCTTAACCTCAGGGTTGTGAGTTTAAGCCCCATGTGGGGCATGGAGCCTACATAAAATTAAAAAAAACAAAACTGTAGTCTGTATTTGCAATTTATACTTTATAAAACGTACATTATTTTCTCTCCACCCCACGGTGGTGATGTAAGCAGGGTTGGTGTTATCATTATGTACGAGCTCAGCAAACTGCATCAAGCAGCCCAGAGTTACTCGGCAGTTGGCTGAGTTGGGCTTCAAATCTACCTCCTTATTTCAAGGTTCTTTCCACCGCACAGTACCAGCTCTCCAGGTTCTGGAAACATCTCCGCTCTGCTCCCAGCTAACCATTTTGTTTACATGTCCACTGGGTTTGGTTCCCGGAGTTTTACTGCAGAACGGAAAGGGTGTTCACTATAGCACTGTTTGCAAGAGTTGACACGTATCTGAATGTCTATCAGCAGGAGGATGATTAAATAAATTACAGGCCATTCATTCTGGAAACACTATACAGTTGTTAAAAGGAATGTGGTTAGATCTGCTATTACTGACACAGGATATACGGTTAGATGAAAGAAGCAAATTGCTAGGGCAGTAATGTGTAATATGATTACATGTTTGAAAAAAAGTAAATTAAAATGAAACTATAAACGTACACACACACACACACATACACATATGTCTGCGTATACACAGAAAAGGTCTAGAAGGCTACTCCTTAAGTGGCATGGCACAGCTTTTTTTAAAAAAATAATTTTTAAAATTGTTTATTTATTTATTTGGAGAGAGAGAGAGAGAGAGAGAGAGACAGACAGACAGAGCGAGCACCAGCAGGGGAGGGGCAGAGAGGGAGAGGGAGAAAGAGAATCCCAAACCGACTCTGTGCTGTTGCCGGGACGCGGGGCTCCATCCCACGAACCGTGAGATCACGACCTGAGTTGAAACCAAGAGGTGGACGCTTAACCGACTGAGCCACCCAGGCGTCTTGCATGTAATAGCTTTTTAATGAAAAAATAAACAACAGGGGCACCTGGGTGGCTCAGGCGGTTAAGCGTCTGACTTTGGCTCAGGTCATGATCTCAAGGTTTGTGGGTTCGAGCCCCGCATCGGGCTCTGTGCTGACAGCTCGGAGCCTGGAGCCTGCTTCGGATTCTGTGTCTTCCTCTCTCTCCGCCCCACCCCTGCTTGCACTCTGTCTCTCTCTGTCTCAAAAATGAATAAACATTAAAAAAAAAAAATTAAAACAAAAGAAAAAGGAAACAACAACCAAGTAAACTTAAGTTCAGGAAGCCTGGCAAAAAAAGGGGGTAAATGGCTTATAGCTTTCCCACCATCATCTCCTGTTCCTACCCTGCTTCTCTCCTGTCTCCCTGTCCAAATAAAGGAATAATGATGTTACTCTCTTCCTTCCCTTCTCAGACATGGGAGGACCGTCACACCATTTTTCGTTCAGGCGGGAGGCTTAGGGTACGGGACCACAGTAAGATTTGAGGCTCCACCCAAATCCTAACCAACAGCAAATGAACTTCAAGATCTATTTTGCCCATTTACCCTTTTTTGGTTCTTGTTAACCCAGATACCTGTCGGTTTCCTTGTGACCCCTGTTTCCAGGCTAAATCTCTTATCACTGAGGCATCAGATCCTTTGCCACTTCAGTCTGCCAACCTACTTATTTGCTCTAAGCTTGCCCAACAAAGGGCGGGTCCCCCAGTTCTCCTTTCTATGGGAACCCGCCCTGGAAGCCCGCTCCCTTTCTCCCTCCTCTTTCATGTGCCTGGGCCAACGGGGTGGAGTGAGACTCTGAGAGCGATGTACGATGGCAGGAAAAACACAGGCTTTGGGGTAAACCACACCTGGCACAAAACCCTGCCTCAGCCTTTATTAGGCACATGACCTTGGGAGAATTTAATCTCTGTACCTTTCTTCATTGCCCCGAACGTCAGTTTTTGCTTCTCCAAAATGAGAATAAAACCTGTTCACAGGGCTGTGAGTAGGAATAAGCAAGATGAAAAAGGTGGGGGGGGTCTGATTCAGAGGGAAGACAACCTAGGATGTGGCTGTGTAATTAGGTGGCAAAAGAGACGGGCTTAACCTGGCGAGGGGCAGGGGGAGACACAGCCCACAATGCCAGTTTCCACTCCACCCTGCTTTCAATAGGGTGGCCTGTGTGCTGGGCACAGCAGGCACAATGCGTAGGGTCTACAGTATTTTAGGGGCCCATCAAAGTGTTTTCTGAGGATTTTAATTGTAGCGATTTTAATTTCTTTTAAAATCAGAAGAAAAAAATGGAATGTTAGGTCAAGGAAACTGTCATACTGTTATATCAATCAATTATTAATTATAAATATAAAATAGTGGTTTCATTATATCAATATTATGTTCTTCTTTATACCAACACGGTTGTAAAACAATTTTTCAATTAGCAATAGTCACACCTTCAATATCATAGCGTTGGCTGTGATACAGCCACTATGCAAGCTTAAAAACTACAATTTTATGTAAATGTAAATATATTTTTTAATGGAGGAATGGGCTCACAAAGGCAAAAGTACCAAGGGCCTCTGAAAGCCATAACGTGTCCTCACTTTCAACACTCCCAAAGGATCTCCTTTAGGACATCTTTATAGATTAGGGAAAAGGGATGTGAGGTGGCATAGGTGGGGAGGCGGGGAAGCCACAAGCAAGACTCTCAATTATCCCATCTTTCAAAGTACAAGCCCTCCCCCTGTCTGTGATTTCCCTGTCCTTGTCAAGGAACTTTTGTTTGCTTGAACCCCATGAATGGGGGGCTGTATGATACATCCCAGAATACCACTTCATTCATGTCGCTCGTTAAGTCAAGAATACAAATATAAAACTCAACGACAACCACAAAACCAGCCAATTAAAAAACGGCCAAGGACTTGAATCGACATACCTGCAAAGGAGATATGCAAAAAAAAAAAAAAAAAAGAAGGAAAGAAAAGAAGAGTGCCGTTAAGGATGCAGAGAAATTGGAACCTTTGTGCGTCGATGGCAAACAGTATGGCCGCTCCTCAAAAAATTAAACAGAATCACCACATGATCTAGCAATTTCACTACTGGGAATGTACCCAAAAGAACTGAAAGCAGGTACTCGAGAAGTCATTCATATTCACAGCAGCCTTATTCACAGTAGCCAAAAGGTGAAAGCAATCTATTGATGGGTGAATGGATACACAAAATGATGTATCATATATATATGTATAATGATGTATGCGTGCTATTATTCAGCCTTAAAAGGAGAGAAATTCTGACACATGGTGCAGCCTGGATGAACCCTAGACATGTTAAGAGAGCCAGACAGAAAAGGACAAATATTGTATGATTCCACTTACATGAGGTACCTCGTCAAATTTCTACAGATAGAAAAGTATATTGCTGGTCATTAGGCACTGGAGGGCGGGGCAGTGGGGGGTTATTGCTTAATCAATACACAGTTTCAGTGTGGGAAGATGACAAAGTTCTGGAGATGGGCCGTCACGATGATTGCACAACAGTGTGAATGTTAATCAGTATTTAATACCACTGGGCTACCAAAACGTGGTTAAAATCGTAACATTTATAGTACCTGTATTTTACCACAAATTGAAAAAAGTAAAGAAAAGAATTTACCCAAGTCCTAATTCCTCAGTTAGCTGCCCAAGCATCACCTCTTTTCCCTCGGGGAGGTTTATTCTCGCGGTCCTCTGCCCTCTCCTCCAGAACAGCGTCCAGGACAAATGCAGTCTTGGTGGTTTCGCACAAGGCACGAACCTGATCCAGAATACCCACTGTGCCCTTCTTGCTGTGTACAAACCTCATCGATTCTTTAAGCGTAAGTACTCCATTCCATTCCCCACTCACGAAGCCTTTGCTGACCAATCTGGACTTCTAGCCACTTCTCCCTTTCCTCATCTCTCACTGGACAACGGACATTGTGAATAGTGCGCATCACCAGTTACAGAGGACACTGTCTTAGACTTCCCTGGGGTTGTCACATGCCACATCAGTATAGTAGATAATGTCGGTCCTAATGACGAATGAGGCTGTGTATATGAAAACAAAGGTGTACAGACCAACCAAGGTTTTGTCTCCCCAGTTTTGGTGGTCCCCCCCCCAACCCTAAATGAGTACACAACGAAAACACAATCAGTGACTATCTGATGGTTTGTCTGGCTCAGCTTGGTTACGGAACAAAAGGCGGGAATCTGTTCTCAGAGTGAGGAGAGGTGGATCCCTGCCTGCAAGAAACAATGGGTTTTGATCCTGGAGCGTAGGATCAGAGGAGTGGAATTAAAAAGCAGGCAGGGGCACCTGGGTGGCTCAGCTGGTTAAGTGTCCGACTTCGGCTCAGGTCATGATCTCATGATCTGGGAGTTTAAGCCCCACACTGGGCTCTGGACTCTGGGCTGACAGCGCAGAGCCTGCTTGTCTCCCTCTCTCTGCTCCTCCCCCGTGCTCTCTCTCTCAAAAATAAATAAACATTTAAAAAAACAAAACAAAAACAGACAGAATTCCTTTCCAGGAAAATGTGGGTCTCTAACAAGCACTTGTTTGTTACCAATGTTACTGAGTGCTTACTAGATATGAGACACTGTTGCTAGGTGTTTTATATGCGGTATCTCATAATAACCTCGCAAGATAGGCACTATTTCCCCCATTTTACAGATGAGAAAACTGGAGCTTTGAGGGTAGATCACTCACTCAAGGTCACAAAGTTTTAAGTGGCAGTGTCGGGGACCAGCGCAGGTCCCCATGATTTCAGATTCAAACCGCACCAAAGTAACCACTCTGGTTGCCCTCTGGGCCTTCCAGGCCCTTTGGAGGTGAGCACGGAGATCTGGGCTGAGGCCTCAGGGAATTCCAGGCCTGGGCTGGGGGAAGACGAATGTCTCTACCATTAGTATTAGAAAGGCCTTCACCTACCTCCTGGAGAAGGCGTGGTTAGCAGGCTAGTCATCGCAGCAAGTGGAGAGAGAGCAGATCTGTAGGAAGAGGGACAAAGACGGCATGAGGTGGATGGGCCCCTACCTGGCGCTGGAGAGCCTTTGGGGCCAGGTTTTCGTGGGTCCCTTCCCTCATGGGGCTAGTCCTAAACTCTTCTCTTTGGGTTTCCCTGAGCACATCTTCGGGCTGGTGGTACCAAGAGCAGAGCCGAGATCTCTGGTACTTGGCGGACGCTGCCTTTGAACGTGCCACCCCGCGATCCTGTCACTCGGCCACCAACCACATTTACCTAAGGGATCTCTCCCGGCCTGAGAAAGTTAGGCGAAGGTATGCAAATTAGCAGCGCACCCAGTTTCGACCGGCCACAGGCACGGGTGCTCCGCGCTTCGCGAGCCTGGCGGCTGCGCCCAGCCGTCCACTAGGGGTCAGGAGAGGGCCGGGAGGGCAGGACGCACCGGCTCCCGGGCCCGCGTGGGGGCAGGGCCGGGGCCTGGGGGCGGGGAGCCAGGCACCAGAACGTGGAGGTGAGGGGCCTCAGTCGCCTTCGGGCCCGTCCCCGACCAGCCGCCGTCGGGCCCTGGCCCGCTCCCCTCACTCGTCCCTTCCCCGTCACGCTGCGCCGTCCGCGCACCCCCTGCCGCACCCCGCCCGCCGGCCACTAACGCCGAGCCCCTCTTGGCCCCGCGCGGACGTCGGGGCTGGCGCGGCGTGGACCCGGCGACTCGGCCTCGGCCCCGCCCCTCCAGCGTTACCCGCACACGGCTCCCGGGGCAGCCCGCGGCGCGTGGGACCAGCTGTCCCGGGCGGGCGTTTCCGAGCGGCCGCGACGGGAGGCTCCGGCCGCTCTGGGCTGGCGTCGCTCCCGCGGCCGAGGCGACTGCCGTGTGCTCGCGGCCCCCGGGTTCGGCCGGGCCTCCCGCCCTCCCCAGGTGCCCTCCTCCGCGTGCTCACCTTCCCAGTCGGACGGGCTGCCGCGGAAAGGGCCCGGCGCCGCTCCGCGCGTCCTTTTGAACTCTCCGGGGGGCGGGAACGGCGGAGATTCGCCGAGGGCCGCCGAGGGACACCGAGCGGGAGGAAGCCGCGGACCGGGGCGCGGAGCTAGCTGCGGAGGCCGGCCGGGAGTGGGGGTGGGGGGGCCGGCCGACTGGGTGGGACAGGAAAAGAGGAGAGAAACCGCCCTCTGCAGGTTCCCTCTGCCCGCCCGGCCGCCGCTGCTCCCCCGGGAGGAAAGGCTGCTTTTCCTCGTCCGATTGTCACTTTCCTCTCCATCCGGAGCCGCTTCCTCCCTCGTCCCGAGGCTCCAGACGGCGTGGGATCGGAACTGGGATAACGGAGATCTGTCCCCTTTCCCCCGATCGACGGAATTTGAACTCCCAGCAAATGCGGAAAATCACGTTTACTTGCGTTTGCGTCTCATTTACGTAAACAGGTCCGCGTCCAGAAAGCTTGGAGCTTCCCGCGGCCGGGAAGCCGGGAGGCTCGGAGGGGGGAGGGAGGGAAGCGGGGCCCCATCCGGATCTTCCTCCTCTGACATTCTTCCGAGGCTACATGTATAGTATAGAGGGTAAGAGCGTCACGGACTTTCGATTCAAACGGTCCCAGCGCCGCGGCTTGTTAGCTGTATGACTTTTGGGCGAATTACTTAACATCTCTAAAATCTGTTCTCTCATCCCTGAAATGAAGCCATTTCACGGCCACACTTCTAGCACCTGGTAAGAATCTCAACCTGTTAATCAGTGCCACCCTTAAGCCATCTTGACTCACTTCTCTGTGGCAGGAAATGTTCTCATATTAATGAACTCAATGACTAAGGATGTAATAGTATAAACACAGGCTCTGCCATCCGCCCTGCTGTGTGATCTTGGACAAGCGACCTTGGTTTCATTTCTCCATCTAGGGCAGTACCTCTTTCCTGGAGTTACTGGGGGTGGTGGAGGATGGAATGTTAATACACCTAAAGCATTAGAACATTACCTGGCACATAGTAAGTGCTCAATAAATGGTAGCCATTTTTATATTGACTTCCTACTTAGAACTCAAGTGGTTTATTCTGCCTTCCATTCCAGTGATACAGACTTCCTTGCTTCCTTATTCCGGTGAGGAGTTCTCTGGTTTTGGAAATCAGTATTTATATAGACTGATGGACCGATCTTGTGCATGTTCATTTGGGGAACAAAGACTGACGGAGAAAGTCTCAGATTAGAGGCATAGTGGGAGAAAAAAAGCAAAGACACAAATAAGCAAGGGTAGTTGCTTTCATTCCTAAAGCTATTATTTGGTTGGTAAAAAACAGAGGGAAAAGAGTAAGTTGATGAAATTCATTTTATTTAAATATGTCTTTAAAGGCACAGTAGGTATCAGTGAGGCAAAAGAAAGCCCATGTGTGGGAAAACTACCAATCCAGCCAAGAAAGACAAAGAAAGTCACATGGAGGCAAGATGTATATAAGTTAGCCGGTGCCTGGGTGGCTCAGTCGGTTAAGAATCTGACTTCGGCTCAGGTCAGGATCTTATGGCTCGTGAGTTCAAGCCCCATGTCCAGCTCTGTGCTGATAGCTCAGAGCCTGGAGCCTGCCTCGGATTCTGTGTCCCCCTCTCTGCCCCTCCCCCACTAGCGGTCTGTAACCTCCAAAGGTTTGCAGGTACGTGATTTTATCCGTGTTGGCACATACCTACCATTCATTTTAAAAGCATAAACATGCAGAAGAAGGAGATCCAATATGCATATGCTCAGCACCTAATTGAGCATAAAACAGCAATACCGTAAGCATCAGGTGTATTCTGTTCTTCGGTATAGCCTGTATATCCTGGATGTGTCATGTTTCCAGTGTTCTCTAGGTATCTCACCTAGTCTGTCAATACTGTCCTTCACATTACTGGAAGGCAGGGACTGGGTGATGTTCTTGCAATTGATTTTATATGGAGATGCATACAGACAGATGACGAATGGAGCCTCATTGGTGGTGAGTGTTCTCTAAGGATTAAATGCTAAACTTCAGAAACTGGAGCAGCCATTCTTTGGTCAACAGACCTCAGGGGCCTCAGGGCAGGGAATAAGAGATACTCATCTCTGCCCAAGGTATTGGCTTCTAGCCCCTTCTTGTGCTGCTGCCAGGACGGCAGTCTTCTCAATCCTAGCCTTTCCCCTGGACAACTTTACCGTTTTGTAAATCAGGGTAAACGATTTGGTTCCTCGTCGGGACTATCTTGCCTAAATAAGCAAAATTCTTCGTTAATGCCCAGCATACTGGCCCTTTCCCCTGTCTTCCTGGAACCTCCTGTAGGACCATATGCAGATCAAGTGTCCGTCTCACAATCTAGTAAATATCTGCACGTCAGTAGTGCCTCTGTGGTACCAGTTACTTTGGGTGCTTCCCCCCGCCTCCCCCCCACCCTCCCTTAAGACTATAAGTCCCTAGAAGTCCTCTCTGGCACACCCCTTTCCCAGGCAGGAAAGCCTTGCGGAGAAAAGGCATGAATTGGATTTTGCCAGATGAATGTGGGAGGGGCAAGTCCAAGCAGGTCATGGAAGGCCTTGGACAGCTAAGGGCCTGTATTCCCAGCGTCACCCCTGCCGGTAGCCTTGGAGCATCGCTCCCGGTTGTGATTCTGAGTGCCGCAGGGATGGGATGCCTTCTAGGAGAGGTGTTAAAATACAGGCAGTAGGGCTCGTACAGGGCGGCATGCAACCTCTTGTCCGTTTTGGCAGGAGCGACCTTTTGAAGGCTTTCAAATAAGACCAGCAGGGTTAGCTCTTAGAAAAACAACTCCTAAATACAAACACTGATTTCCAGCTCCCCAACAGACGCATTTACTGGAAGGTCCTGCAAGTTCTCGAGCTCCTTGTAGCCCGTGGTTGTAGGGGACACCCAATAAACCACGCAGAAAGCATACACTTTGGTCAGTTCTGACGCGTGTGGGTACTCATTAAACGATCACAATACCGTGGATGTTTCCATCGCTCTAGAAGTGTCCTTGTGCTTCTTTGTCTTCCATCTTCATTACCACCGCCTCGTCGTCCCACCACCCCCACTGGTCTCCCTGTCATCGTAGATGCTAACCTGCCTCTCCATCAACTGGGCCAGATTCTTTCTCCAGGCAGTCTGAGTCTGCAAAGGACACAGTGGCAGAAGGTGGTGGAGGCTGAGTCCTCCCTAAAGGACAGTCCACACATTCCTGCCACAGACACCCATGGGCTGACTCTTGTCCTTTCCTGTTCTTTCGGTTCTGTGAGCTGCCTGATATCCCCTCCAATGTTGTGTTTTTGTTTTTGTTTTTGTTTTGTTTTTTTGTTTTTTTAAAAAAAAATTTTTTTTTCAACGTTTATTTATTTTTGGGACAGAGAGAGACAGAGCATGAACGGGGGAGGGGCAGAGAGAGAGGGAGACACAGAATCAGAAACAGGCTCCAGGCTCTGAGCCATCAGCCCAGAGCCTGACGCGGGGCTCGAACTCACGGACCGCGAGATCGTGACCTGGCTGAAGTCGGACGCTTAACCAACTGCGCCACCCAGGGGCCCCTGTTTTGTTTTTTTGATGTGGAGCTTGAACTCACAAACCATGCGATCATGACCTGAGCCGAAGTCGGATGCTTAGCCGACTGAGCCACCCAGGCGCCGCCCCCTCCAACATGTTCTTTATTGCTCAATTGTGGCCGTTTGTTGTTTGCAACCAGAGAACCCGCACGCAGCAACCACCTTCCTCCTGTGATCACCATTTCAGAGAATGGCACCCCCAAATCCTTGTCTCTCAAGCCTAACCCAGAGTAATCCCTGAAAAACTTCAGTCATGTGTCCTCCTCTAACCCATTGCTAAATCCTACCCATTCTGCTCCCTGATCAATATTCTGTCTCTATAAAGTTTTAGCTTCTTCCTCATCATTATTTGTCTAGTACCTAGTACAGTACTTGGTGCAGAGTAGGTACTCAGTAAATGCTTGCTGAATGACTGAATTGTGCTGTTGTCCATAACCCCAGACACAAAAGCAAAGATGTAGGCGTGTGTGTTTTTAGGCTGGCAGGAAGTCAAAGTGAGTTTTTAATGTTTTCACAGAAGTAAATGATAGGACGTGAATCCTGGATTTCGGACTCTAAATTCAATGCCGTTTCTGTTATATTATCGTATTTTGTCAGGAGTTCCATTTCTTCTTCCATCCTGCTGAGATGCCTTTTTTTTTTTTTTTATTTACTTATTTTTGAGAGAGAAAAAGGGCATGCAAGCCAGTGGGGGAGAGGCAGAGACGGGGACAGAGAATCCTAAGCAGGCTCCGCAGAGCCCAACGTGGGGCTCAAATTCATGAACTATGAGATCACGACCTGAGCCGAAGTCGGAAGCTCGACCAACCGAGCCACCCAGGCGCCCTTCAGATGCTTATTTACGCCAAGGACCACATTGTAAACACTAGACACAGCTCTAAAATGCAACCCCTTTCCAAGGGCATTTGCTTATTAACTGAAAGTGAGAGAGGGCATGCAGTAAAGCGTCTGGATTGAGGAAAGGAACCTGTGCCCCGCCCCCCCCCCCCCGCAGCATTCTGACCGAGCTGGGGGTCAAGGATGGGACTGACGCTTTCTGAACAAGGGGTACATGCAATACGACCTAAGTGGAGAACAGTGCGCTGGGCTGGAACAACTTTGTGTTAAAATAAGGATCCACACACGGTTCGAATGATACTTTTATTTAACTGTCTGCAAATCTGTTCTTCTGGCTCGAGGTCTTGCCAATGAGTGGTGAGTCAAAGATTTGTCCGCTGTTCTCTGAGTACGTGTGGTTATGGGTCTCTGTGCGGACGTGTCTGTGTCTATAGATGCTCTTGCTAATTTATGGTCATTTTCCACCTACTTTAATTAACATATAAAGTCTTCTTATTCTGACAATGCTAAAGCCTGAGTTCAATACTCCCCGAGTCTAATGGTTTCTTCTCCCAAGCCTGCCTCCCTCCCTCCCTCCCCTAAGTCTGCTCCTCAGCCCCCATTAATGCTAGATCTTTAGAGACCATCAGCATTCACAGGGGTGGAGAACCTAAAAATGAATGCTAGATCTTAAGTCCCTCTGACCTGTATACCCTTGAGCTGAGGAGCTTCTTGGGGAGGTGTGTGCTGCGGGGGGGGGGGGGGGCGGGGGCCCGGCAGTCCCTCTTCAGAGTTAGTCATTTTGCACTGTAGATACCTGGAGAACAAACAAACGTGACTGGGTTAGATGCCGACCTGCCCTCTCACCAACCACTCCCGGGGAGGAGGGGGTGGAGGAGCTCAGTTTGCTTCTAGCAAATTGTATTTCTTGTAAGGCACTGGGCTATACCCAGGGAGGCGATGTAAAACTGGTTGCTGGGATTACTGTAAAGACTGGGTGCAGATACTGTTCATCGCATCATTTGCCATCTCTTTACGAGGACTCACAGGGGAAACTTCTTTTCGTCTTAGTAACAAGAGCGGTTGCTCTCTTGAGGAGTGGGCAGCACGAACTAAATGAGCTGATCATGTTTTCCTCTTCTCCTTGGATGTTAGAAAGTGTTGCAACCACCTTTGTGGTCCATCCTTGGTACTTTTATTTTATAGAATGCTTTTTTGTCTTTCCCTAGTTCATGGCTCCATTTTATGTCATGGTTACTAATATACTTCTGAGTATGCTGTGCGTGTGTACATATTTACCTTTTTGTGTGCCTTTTATATATATCTCAACTCCTTTTTGAAATAAGTTCCCATACAACTAAACACATATTTAGGAGATAAGGCTACGGCGAGAGGTCCAGAGGTTCAAGGTCAAGGGCTGGGAAATGGGCACAGAAACCACAAAGGCCCAGGTTATTCTTGGTTCCTCTGGCTCCCACCTGCCTGACTTTGCCCGGAGGATACTGTTCACTGCTGGCTTCCCCCTGTAGCCCACAGTGAGGTTTCCAGACTGTAACCAAACCTCTGTCCACCCCTAGTGCCCAATCTTCCCACTCATCCCATTCTGTGGATCTGGCCTCCTTACCTCTTCTTGAGGCTCGGGTGCCATGACGTCGCTCTCTTCTGGAACTGCGGAGACGTGAAGCTGATCTTGGCTCTACAAAAAGAAGAGTTCTGCTGGTTAAGAGGTGGATCCACCTCCCCAGCCTCTCCCCAGCTTAGAAGGGTCTTCTGTGCCCTACACTTTACAAGGGGCAAAGACAACACAAAGGGCAAACGTACAGTGTTGTTTCACTATGGCCTGAGAGCATCGGGGAAGGCTTTACTGTCATGCTCTGTTACAGATCAAGAGACCCAGATTCAAAGGTGAAATGACAGGGAACCGGGTCTTGGGACTCCCGTTGTCTCCCTGATCAGACACTGTGTGATCCGTGTGACATGCATCTGTATATAAATCTATGTGGGAGTCTAGGAGGGTATAAATGTAGGTCTTTTTTTTTTTTTTAATTTTTTTTGAACGTTTTATTTATTTTTGAGACAGAGAGAGACAGAGCATGAACGGGGGAGGGGCAGAGAGAGAGGGAGACATAGAATCGGAAGCAGGCACCAGGCTCTGAGCCATCAGCCCAGAGCCCGACGCGGGGCTTGAACTCACAGACCGCGAGATCGTGACCCGAGCTGAAGTCCGCGAGATCATGACCCAAGCCGAAGTCGGACGTTTAACCGACTGAGCCACCCAGGCGCCCCTAAATGTAGGTCTTAAAAACACTACCCACCACTTTTAGACTAACCCTCCTTGAGAACGCACTGCGGCTCTCACGCTGAGATGATCGTTGGCTGTGCCGGTTTGGAAGGTCAAGTGGTATGATGGTTTCTTTGGGGAAGAGTTCTGGGTTCTGAGATGGGAACCCGAGGTACGGAAAGCCCTGTCCAGGAACTGCTAAGCCAGGGGGAGACCTTGGCATTCTAAGGTTTGGAGTGAATTTATTTTTTTAATTGAAATTTAACCTACACACTATAAAATTCACCTGCTCGAAAAGCAGGACCAACTTCTAACAGTCTGGGACAGCCACTTGGAAGTCTGTGGTTTCTCCTTTCAGGGATCTTTCTTCTTCTTCTTCTTCCCTCCTCCAGTTCCAGGCTGTGAATTACCCCAAAGGTAATACTGCCTCCCAGAAAAGTACTATTCTTTCAGAGAACCTTCATTCTCTCTCAGGCGATTAAGCAAAAATATGCCTCCTTAGCTGAGGCCTGAGCAATCCCCCAGGAGAGGCTGGGAGTAAGGAAATACTATAAATCTCAAACATAAGGAGGGGAGGAGCGGGGAGCAGGTTGCGTCCTATATCTCTTTCCCAAGGAGGACAGTGTTACTAGCGCATTCCTCAAAAATAGAGAGCATCTCGGCCCCTATAATCACCCCTCCAATAAGATTACTCCAAAGAGGCAAACCTGTTTTATCCGCCAGAGCCAAAGAGGCCATTCATTGTATTGCTGACCCCATACCAAAATCATGTAATATGTTACAGTCACACTTAAACTGATCTTGGACCTTCCATGCCATTGAATTGCTCTTTGTGGTGCAGGCAAGTGAAAAGTGGCTACACTTTACCCATTCAAAATCCCACGGTTAGCCTGCACTTATTCACCGTCCACAAGTCCTGCCTATTTCTCCCAGTCACCATAGCTTCCTCACACGAGAAGCCAACAAGGGGCAAGTTCTAGATCTTGCCCCGTTAGGACCTTCAGTGGCTCACGTGGATCAAGACCGAGGGCATAAGGGCGTTGACGACTTAGATGTTAGTACCTCAGGGGAGTCAGCGAAGCCCGGCTTCTTGTTCTCTTCCTTGTCTTCTATCTTCTTTGCCTTGTCAGACTCTGAAAAAACCTGTGGATCAAAGCGGACAATGTATGAGGAAGTCCCACGCCTTCACACCCTGGATGCCACCCTGGATGCTTTGTCTGTTAGCTGGTGCCCACAGTACTGGCATGGTGCCTATGTCCAGATACCAGGAGGCTCTCAAGGTAGCCTGGTCAGCCCTCAGTGAGGCACAGGCAGTCACGGGGTGGTGTGAACCGAGGGGCACCAGGAATCTCAGACTCCCAGATATCCACGTGGCTCGTGCCCCGGCCTCCTTCATTGCCCAAATGTTTCCTTTGGCCACTCCGTTTAAAACTGCCATTTAGCCGGGGCGCCTGGGTGGCTCAGTCAGTTGAGCGCCTGACTTCGGCTCAGGGCATGATCTCACGGCTCCTGGGTTTGAGCCCCGTGTCGGGTTCTGTTGCTGACAGCCCGGAGCCTGGAGCCTGCTTTGGATTCTGTGTCTCCCTCTCTCTGCTCCTCCCCCACTCATGCTCTGTCTCTCAAAAATAAGTAAACATTAAAAAAAAATTTTTTTTAAAAACCTCCAATTCAGCCTTCGCTCCCTGTGCCTTCCCCTACCTAATTTCTCTCTAGATCTCTTATCAACACTAAATTGTAATTTACTTATTTATCGTTTCTTGCCTATCTCCCTTATTTTCCCTACTCCCTAGCCACTAGAATGTAAGATGCAGGAAGGCAGAGAATTTTGTGTTTTGCTCCCTGTAATATCCCACCTCCTAGAAGAGTGCCTGGCACATAGCAGGGACTCAGTAAGTAATTATGGAATGAATGAATGAATGAATGAATGAATCTCGGTGCCATCTAGTGAGGTGTCTCACCATAATCTTCTCTATGATGCACCTGACAGGTGATCATATATTCTTAGCTTTCAACAGCAAGGGACGGGGGCTATTTCTCAAGGTGGCCTATCCTATTTTGGTTTTTGGAAGTCCCTGTGCTTCCTTCTCCCTATATTTGAAATGGGTTTTCCATATCATTTTTTAACAGAGCTAATCACTGAATATTTACCTGATATTGATCCAAAATGTACTTGAAAAAAAAATTACACACAGTTGTGCCCCCAGAAATCTCATAGAACAAGTCAAATCTCTCTTTGATATGATATAGCTTTTCCGTGTAATTTGAATACAATACAACTTGACTTCCAGATCCTTTACAGAACTGGTCGCTCTCCACAGGTCTCTTTCTCTATTTTAACACAATCCTTTTCTCATCCATATCCTCACCTTTCAAAAGACCATCCCTTTTGCCTTACTTTCCCCTGTGAGTTCCTTCTTCTACGCCTCTCTCATCACAGAAGATGCACCTTGGAAATTTGCATTTTTCTTACTGTAGTCACAAGTATGATGAACTGGAATGAGACCCTCCTCCCTGTCCCTACTAAAAAATGTAAAGCCCAGGGTGCCAGTTGTAGATTCTTTTTCTTTAAAAAAAATTTTTTTTTAATCTTTATTTATTTTTGAGAGAGAGAGAGAGACAGAGTGTGAGCAGGGGAGGAACAGAGAGAGAAGGAGACACAGAATCTGAAGCAGGCTCCAGGCTCTGAGCTGTCAGCACAGAGCCTGACACGGGGCTCGAACCCACAAACTTTGAGATCATGACCTGAGCCGAAGCCGGACCCTTAACCGACTGAGCCACCCAGGAGCCCTGTTGTAGATTCTTTACCTTGGGAACTCCCAAGTTCCCAAGGTAAAGAAAGAAATGAATAAGAATCTGTTCATAACAATAATAATAATATGAGAGATAAGCCCTTTGCAGAAGTCAACCACCCTGAGAGTACAGGTCACTAAATTAGTCGCTATGAATCTGTGAAACGATGCCCAGGACCAAAAAGGTGTCCGAGAATATCCTCGAAACTGTGACCTAATGACAGAAGATCTTATCACCTGGGGCAAGCTGACTGTAGTAAAGGTGATCTACATGGAGGATGTAAAAGGGAATAAAGACTCAACCAGACCCAATCTCACCTCAGAGGACATCAAGGTAGGGGAAGTACAAAGTTCTTCTGGGTTCAGATTGCTGATGTTCTCCTTTTCTCTGGCCTCAGGAGTTCTTACTGGCTTCTCTGGTGGCTGGGGGTCAGGAGAAGCCTCCAAGAGGGCCCTAGGACTGGTGGGCGAGCCCTGTTCAGAGGCTGGAGGGCTGGAGGGGAGGTTCCCCAAGGAGTGCCTGGGGCTGGGAGTGGCTCTGGGCGGAGGCGGCCTATTAGGAGGTGCGGAGGTCCTCTGGACAGGGACTCTCTTCTTCGGTTGTTCGGACCCTTCACTTGAGGTGCGGGTTCGGAGGACCACTTCTGGGGGAGATGAGGGCTGTTCTGAAGGGAGAAGGGGTCCGCCTGGTGATGGAGGTGGGGAGCCGGGGAGCGCTTCCTCTTGGGACTTGCCGTCCTCAATGGTGGGAGAGGGCTGGGCCTGGGCGGGGCCGTTGCAAGCTGGCAGAGGCTCTTCCTCCTCAGAGGAGCTAGGTTCAGACTCTTCCACTTCTTCTTCCTGGTCTTTTAAGGGCTCTTTAATCTCAGCATCATCTTCTCGCTGGGCCAGATCAGATGCCAGCTCTTCTTCACTTGCTGAGATGGAGTCCCCTTCATTCTTCAAAGCAAGCGCGGAGGGACTGGTAGGTGAGGTGAGAGGGCTGGAGACTGCGGATGTTCGAACTGGGGAAGAGATGACTAAAGAGCGTCTGCTGCTGCTAAAAAAGTAAGAGCGTTCAGATTCAGAAGAGCTGAGACCTGGAAGCAACCTAAATACCCCCACGTAAATAATGATGCATGCACATCATAAGAAAATAGAACAAAGCCATCTAAGATATGAGAAAGCTTGGGGACGGCCAGGGTGGCTCAGTCGGTTGAGCGTCCGACTTCGGCTCAGGTCATGATCTCACGGTTTGTGAGTTTGAGCCCCGCGTCGGGCTCTGTGCTGACAGCTCAGAGCCTGGAGCCTGCTTTGGATTCTGTGTCTCCCTCTCTCTCTGCTCCTCCCCCCTGCTCATGCTCTGTCTGTCTGTCTCTTTCCTTCAAAAACATTAAAAAAATTTAAGACATGAGAAAGCTTGTATACTTTGCGATAATGCTTCTGTTATATGGTGCAAAAGAGGCTATAACATGTTATATATATCACGATCTCAATTACGTAAAAAATATATATAAAGAAAGCAAGACTGGAAAGAAGCATAGCAAAATGCTGACAGGATGTTTTCTCTGGGGAAAAGATTCACAGGTGATACACAGTTGATTCTTGTGGACTCTCTATTTGCAAATTCACCTGGTCCCCAAAATTGATTTGTAACTCCAAAATGAACACTCACGATGCTTTCTTTTGCAGCCAGCCACGGACACGAAGCGAGCTTTGAAAAGTGGGTGCCTGAAGGGCACTTTCCCAGCCAAGGTCTAACCAGGCAACCCTCCGCCTGGTTTCAGCTCTTACAACCGCAAACATGTCCTTTTTGCCCTGTCTCTCACAGTGTGCTTTTCGTTGGTGATTTTGCTGTTAGAATGGCCTCCCAAGTATAGCAGTAAAGTGCTTAGAGCGAGACGACTGTGATGTGCCTCACAGAGGAAAAAATGCCTCAGATAAGCTTCCCTCAGGGAGGAGTTATGGTGTTGTGGGCTAGGAGTCAACAACAAGGTGTCTTTCAACAGAAACACACACAAGACAAGGTTACGTACTGATTGGCTGATGAAAATGCTAGGAGTGGGGTCTTATGGGAACCTAACTCCGTGTCTTCCTTAGGAGTAATGGTTCAGTATTCGCTAATCCAGTGGTCACGGTGACTTTATGGAACACAATGACCATGAATAATGAAAACTGACTCTATGTATTCAGTAGGCCGGACACTGTGCCGAGTGCTTGTATGGCCAACGTCAGCTTGAGTCCTCCTCACCTCAGGGGCCTCCTATGTACTGTCTACAAACCGATTAAGCAACCCACAGATATTTACTTGACAGATACCAATTATGCTGGTGCAAGGATGTGAGATGGGAATAGGCAGAGAAAGAGAAAAACTTCGTTCTGGCCTTGTGGCAGTTTCTGATGTGAGATAATAAGCTGAGCAACAGAGGTTATTTCTAACACCGACATTCTAGGGTCAGTAGCTTTAGAGGCCCGGGACATAGCCAGAAAAAAACCACATTTCCCTACGAGGTGCTGGGACATCTTGGTGTCAGTGATAGTAAGTTTCAGACAAATGGACCACTACAGAGAATTCTGTCTCTAAATGCTGAGAAATGGAGAAACAGAATTTTTGGAGCAAAAAGGGAATTCGTCTAGGAAATCTACATTGACCCTTTAGTGATGATTTGTAATCACTAAACAAATTGCTGTAACAGATTGCTAAATGGATAATACAAATAACAAATGTGAGCCTGATGCTTCCTTTAAGTCCCAAGATCAGTTTCACCACCTCCTTTAAAAGTCTACCCTGACCATCCCTGCATTGGCAGATACTTCTCTGGAATTCCTACTGGTCTCATTGAGTACTTATGTGTGCAAGCTTATATTGTTCCTTGTCTCCATGGGTACATTTTCTGTCCCTTCAACTTTTGGTAAATCACTTCAGGGAAAGGACAAGTCTCCTATGTCTTTGGGTCTCTAACTCTCAGCATACAGCCTTGTACGTAGAAGGAATCAAAGGCTCCAGAATGAGAAAGTGATCACATTCTGAGGGACCACTGAACTGCTTATGTTTACCAGCATAAAGAATGTATGAAGGCAATAGACAACACACACACACACACACACACACACACACACACACACACACACACGAAGAAAGTCATAAAATTGAGAAGATATTTGCAATGCATAGCATTAAAGTATTAATATCCAGAACAAACACAAAAAATACCTCCTATAAATCAATTTTTAAAAAGGGTAAGCAGGGGCGCCTGGGTGGCTCAGTTGGTTAAGCATCTGGCTTTCGCTCAGGTCATGATCTCACAGTTTGTGAGTCTGAGTCCCACATTGCGCTTACTGCTATCAGGGCAGAGGCGGCTTCAGGTCCGCTGTCCTGGTCTCTCTGCCCCCTCCCCAGCTCACGCACTCACTCTCACTTTCTCGAAAATAAATACACATTAAAAAAATTTTAAGAAAAAGGTAAGCAATCCAAGTGAAAAAATGTGAAAACAAGGTTAAACTGGAAAGTCACAGAAAGGAACCTTAAACGGCCAGTAACACGAAAAGATGCTCAAGGTAAGCAGCGATTGCGGAGTGTGAATTAAATTGCAAAAATTCCACTTCATACCCATTAGTTTAGAAAACTAAATAGGGCTGACAGTGTCATGTGTAGCAAGAACATGGAGCACTGGGGGGCTTTTACTACTCCTGGTGAGTTGTAAAGTCCAGCAGTCACTTGGGAGAGCCATTTGATAATGACAATCCCTAGCAAGGTTGAAGAAGCCCAAATGCACCGACTACGACTCAGCAAAATCCCCCTCCAAATGTACACCCTAAAGAAACTCTTGGTGATACACACAAAGAGAAATGCAGGCTGTGTCCGCTGTAACGTTATTTGTAATAGCAGGAAACTGGAAAACAACCCAGATGTCTATCAGCAGGAGGACAGAAAAATAAATTGTGGACAGCCACACAACAGCATCCATCACAGTCAGGGGAAAGGAAAGACAAGAGCTGGTAACACGTAGCAACAGGACAAACGAAGGTCACAAACGGTACGAAGAGAACAGAGAGAAGTTGCAAAAGAACACGTCAAGTATGATTCCAGTTTCTAAAGTTTGAAAACATGCAAAACGGTATTTTCTGTGCGTGCGTGTATGTGTATAAGAAAAGTAAAAAGACACGCACGGGAAAGAGAAATACGAAATTGAAGACAGTGGTCACCTTTGGAGAGGGGGCAGGAAGAGAAAGTGAGTGGGGAAGGGACACCGTGTGCTTCAATAATACATATAATAGCTGATTTCTTAAATCTGGTGGTAACTGCATGGCTATTTATTGTATTATTCTTTTTTTTATTGTATTTTTTTATACCTTTAGTGATAGCTGAAATATTTCATACAAAAAAGAAAAGAATTTATAGGAGGCATAATACAAACAACAAAGTGGGGCGCCTGGGTGGCTCAGTTAGTAAGGGTCGGACTTTCGCTCAGGTCATGATCTCGTGGTTTGTGAGTTTGGGATTCTCTCTCCCTCTCTCTCTGCCCTTCCCTCCCCTCTCCCCCCTCTCTTTTTCTTGCCTGTGTGTGCACGCGTGCTCTCTTTCTCAAAATAAAACCAAAAACCCAAAAACCCCAAAACCCAAACCCAAACTCTCTACAAAAAACAAGTAACAACCAACATCATGCACATGACTGTGAAGGGAAGGCCAGGACCGGGGATGGAAATGGGAGTGTTGCGAGTGTTCACAGGACAAGGGAAGCAGCCAAGAGTCTCAGAAGTTGCTCACCTTGATACTCCCTTCACCACAAAGACCTTGTTGGAATGTTGCTTCTCCAGTTTGCTCATCACCTCGTAGAGACTGTGGTTCAGCTAGAGCCAGCAAGAGAGATGATTGCTAGCCAGAGGGAACCTGAGACTGGCTTATCCCTTCTCTTCTCCCTTTCAGACAGTTCCCCAGATAAAACCTCCCCACGCTTAACTATAAAACTCCTCCTCATCTCTTTTGCACTAGTGTCTAGGGTCCTGTCCTGCCACCCCTTCTTCCTTGACTTGTCTGTGTCCTAAGTTCTGTCTCTTCCATCAGACTGGCAGCTCCCTCCCTCAAGGCTGGGTCCTTGATGTCTGACGTTTGATTTGAGGTTCTAGCTTCTCTCAGGTAATCCAGGCAATAAAAACCCACTGTAATATTAACGAGGCAAACCATAATTTAGCTCAAGAAACTGCGGACAGGAACATGTGGATGTGTGCACGAGTTCAGTTAATGTTGTAATAGCAAGGAGTCTTGGAATCCCAGGACTAGAAAAGACCCCATGAGGTCATGTTGTGTGGCTGCCTGTCACTGCACAGGACGGGCCTTCTCCATTCATGCCCAACTACCTGAGAAACCGACCTGTGTTTAAACACCGCCCTCCTTGGGGCGCCTGGGTGGCTCAGTCGGTTGAGCGTCCGACTTCGGCTCAGGTCATGATCTCACGGTCTGTGGGTTCGAGCCCCACATCGGGCTCTGTGCTGACGGCTCAGAGCCTGGAGCCTGCTTCCGATCCTGTGTCTCCCTCTCTCTCTGCCCCTCCCCCACTCTCACTTTGTCTCACTCTGTCTCTCAAAAATAAATAAATGTAAAAAAAATAAAAAATAAATAAAAAAACCCACCGCCCTCCTTGCTCCCTAGCAACAGAAGATAAAGATTTCCACAGCCTGGGACTCCTGGCTGGCTCAGTCGGTAGAGCACGTGACTCTTGGTCTTGCGGTCGTGAGTTTGAGTTCTGCATGTGGCACAGTGTTTACTTAAAATAAAAAATAAAGGGGCGCCTGGGTGGCTCAGTCCGTTAAGGGGTTTGTGAGTTCGAGCCCCACATCGGGCTCTCTGCTGACAGCCCAGAGCCTGGAGCCTGCTTCCGATTCTATGTCTCCCCCTCTCTCTGCCCTTCCCCTGCTTGTGTGCGCGTGCTCTCTCTCTCTCTCTCTCAAAAACAAATAAACGTTAAAAAAAATAATAAATAAAATAAATAAAAATAAAAGATTTCACAGCTTGGTTCCCCAGGTCAGCTATTCCTTCCAAAGGCCTACCTCCTTTATTCATCTGAAGCTCAAGTTTGGCTGCCATTATTCAGTTGTTAATGGAGATGGGGAGGGGCCTCTGAGGTTGTGTACTGGTGCTTTAACCCAGTTCAACAATGTCAGTCAAGTGCTATTATCTCCTCATGAGAAAAAGGTAAAAACCCATGCTGCCAATATCAATATTTAATGAGCTTATGTAAGTTAGGGCTACTTTCACATTTCCTAGGAAGACCCACCTAGCTGTCCACATTCGCCAAGATGTTTCTCACCTTGCTCATCTCCCTGTAGAAGACATCCCTCAGGTTGGAGATGTTCTGGAAGATGGTCACGTAACAGCCAATACGACTATCAGGGGCCAAAAAACAAAAACAAGACCACATGCAGGTGAGCGGTGGTAAAGGAAGTCTTTGAGATACAAGGGAGGAGCTTAAGCCAACACCAGTGGACACAAAGAGTCCTCAGAGAAAAGCACCCTGCACCCTAGACTCAGGATGTGATCTGGATTTGTCAGGGTGAGGCCAGCAGCACACTGGGCTCTCAGAAGAGTGGGAAGGTCAGGGGAGACACTTATCGGCCCAGCTGATGCCAAAACACGAGACCTCTAGGTGCGTGAAGCTATCTTGATCCAGGCCCTTTAGGTACTAACGTAGATATGAAAGTACTCTAAAGACTTTTTATTTTTATTTTAATTTTTTTTAACGTTTATTTATTTTTGAGACAGAGACAGACAGAGCATGAACGGGGGAGGGTCAGAGAGAGGGAGACACAGAATCTGAAACAGGCTCTAGGCTCCGAGCTGTCAGCACAGAGCCTGATGCGGGGCTCGAACTCACGGACCGCGAGATCATGACCTGAGCCGAAGTTGGCCGCCTAACCGACTGAGCCACCCAGGCGCCCCTCTAAAGACTTTTTAAAGTGCTGTAAAAATATAAGGCCATGCCATTATAATTATTATCATAAATAATTATTCTTCTCATTGTGCAATACCTGGGCTTCGATGAAGCTGAAGGCACATTGGCAGAATTCTACTGTGAGTGAATGGGAGAAATTTACATTTAAAGAAACTGTATGAAATTGCAACGCTATTTAAATTAGGAGTCACATAACTGGTGTCTTAGAATACGTGTAGTGATTAAAAAGGCTCCACCAGGGGCGCCTGGGTGGCTCAGTCGGTTAAGCGGCCGACTTCGGCTCAGGTCATGATCTCGCGGTCCGTGAGTTCGAGCCCCACGTCGGGCTCTGTGCTGACAGCTCGGAGCCTGGAGCCTGCTTCACATTCTGTGTCTCCCTCTCTCTCTGCCCCTTCCCTGCTCATATTCTGTCTCTCTCTGTCTCAAAAATAAATAAACATTAAAAAAAAAAAGGCTCCATCATACAGAGACTGATATTAAGTGGCAATATAAAATACCGACTACAGCTGCCATTACAGCATATCTCGTACAATGAAAAGTCGGACACAAAGACAATTTCTACTCAGACGCCTCCTCCCAATGTGGGAGATTTACGTCTACAACATGTTTACCTCCTGTGAAGCAAAGACATCATTAATAGAAATAATCATCCCGTGGCTTAGCGTCTCCACGAGCCGGATGTTCGTGAGCCAAGCCAAGACAGTACACACCGAGGCACGGAACCATATACTCCTGGCTCGCGTGATGATGGCCATCTACTTGCCAAGATCGCTCCTGTCCAAGAAGCAGCTTGCCTTTAAACTGGAAAAGCTGGCAGGGCAGGCGTGGTTAGCTCCATACTGCCGGTGAAGTAAGCAGGGTCTGGGGCGATAAGGCAGCTTGCCTAATGTCACCCAGCAAGGCAGTGACAGGGCTGAGGCTACATATCCCACTCTTGCACCAGAGCTCAGGTGACACGTTTGGGTTGCCAGGTAACCCGGGCCTCCAGCGGCCCCGGGGGTCCAGGCCTTTTCTGAAGGTCAATCATTACCTGTGATACAGAGCGGGCAGTTCCTCCAGCAGTTCCTGGTTCAGGTCTTCAAACACACTCTGGGCTTTGTTGAACTCTTCCTCTGCCTAGGGGGTGAAACAGACAGGGCCGTTGCCCTCGGTCCCGGGTCTAAGGCTGGAGACGCTGTGCCTCCTTGATCCTCTGCGGCTTTTCAGGGACTTCCTGGGAACCGAGCCTCTCTTTCCCCAGACCCGTGCCCTCCCAAGCCATGAGTGTTTGACTATCCTGAGAGCATTGGTGTCAGGGAACACAGGATTTCCTTCAGGACACGCTGGATGCTGGATTTATCGTTTCTTAAACCCAGCCTGGCCCAGCAGGAGGGCAGGACGGTTTTATCAGGGTTTTTTTTGTTTGTTTTTTTTTTACCTTGGCAGTCTTGGCCTCATCTTTCTTCTTGGCATTCTGCAACGCCTCCAGGTGGTGTCGGGCACTGTCATAGTCCACAAGTTTCCGACCCCGCTTGGCAATTCTTTCCTAGCCCAGAGGTAGGAGAGAGGCCTCGAGAATCACTTTTCGGTGGCCAGGATGCAGGTGACAGAGTGTCAAACACAGAGGCACGATGACTGGCTCCTATTATTGCACTGCACTTTCTAACAGTTTTGTGCCCAAGGGATCTCCCTCGCTCTTTGGAAAGAATGGGAATTCTCAGGGAGGGGGGCAGAGTAAAGGGAAACCCTACAGAGCATGTGGAAGCCTGCACTAAACATCACTACTTCCTATAAACCCACTAGAATCTGGTTCAGCCTCCAGGAGACATGGCCTTGAGAATCTAACCAAATTCAAAGTCAGGGGTGCTGGGTCTTACTCCCAGTGCTGCCACTTATCAGCCCCGTGATGGAGGGCAAGGCACGTCTCTTTTGGAACATCAGCAGCCTCATCTGCCCCTACGGTGTTATTTGAAAGCTCAAACGCGGACTATATAGTGCTTTGCAAATCCTGAAGCATAATAAAAATGGTAACTTGTTATGTGCACTGAGAGACCGTCTACTCAGTCTCATCCAAACTACATATTCAATCATGGATTTTATTTTATTTTATTTTTAATTTTTTTTTTAACGTTTTTATTTCTCTTTGCGACAGAGAGAGACAGAGCGTGAACGGGGGAGGGTCAGAGAGAGGGAGACACAGAATCGGAAACAGGCTCCAGGCTCTGAGCCATCAGGCCAGAGCCCGATGCGGGGCTCGAACTCGCGGACCGCGAGATCGTGACCTGGCTGAAGTCGGCCGCTTAACCGACTGCGCCACCCAGGCGCCCCTCAATCATGGATTTTCAAAGGACTAGTGATGATCTGGCCCAGCTTCCTACTGAACACGTGGAGCTGCAATATCCCAAATAAGTAGTTTACCAATTTCTGCTGGAACAGAGAATGGACAATTCCCAACTTCACAGCAGATTTCATTTTTTGAAAGCTTGATGACAGACTGAAGTCAGGACCCCTCTAATTTCTCCCTATTAATCTAAAAGCAGTGCAGCGCCTGACAGAGTAGATGGTTAATAAATAGGAGTTGGGGCGCCTGGGTGGCTCAGTCGGTTGGGCGGCCGACTTCGGCTCAGGTCATGATCTCGCGGTCCGTGAGTTCGAGCCCCGCGTCAGGCTCTGTGCTGACAGCTCAGAGCCTGGAGCCTGTTTCCGATTCTGTGTCTCCCTCTCTCTGATCCTCCCCCGTTCATGCTCTGTCTCTATCTCAAAAATAAATAAACGTTAAAAAAAATTAATAAATAGGAGTTGAATGAATAAATGAACTCTAACTCTGCTTTCTGGAACAGCTTAGAAGAGGTTGCATCCCTCTTTTACCTAGCAGACTTCCAAGTATCGGATGTAGTTATCATGACTCCTCCAAGTTTCTTCTTGTCTACAATATAGAGATGGCCTGGGGTTTTTTTTCCACAAGTAAAAGGGATGCCCTGACCTAGATCTAATTCAAAAACAGCTCCAATCTTCTTCACCCAAATCTAATTCTAAACATGCCCTTCACACAGCTCTAACCTTCCACCTTAACCTCCCGTCTGACCCCAGACTTTTAATCCTCTTTCCTGAGCTTCATTCCCGACTGTGGGCTCAAACTCTACGTAGGACATTTACCCTGTATGTTCTCTAACTTCCAGGGGCCACCCGTGACCCATCCTGGACTCTGCAAACCGATTACCTTGATCTCGCTGAACTGGGCTACGTAGTTTTCCATGGTTCTCACTGCCTGGTCAGCTAATTTCTCTTCGTAGTCTTCCCAAAGGAGATCATTGTTCTGTGGGGGCAGAGGCAGAGGGCAGTGGTGAGGGCCCCACTTCTCAGCAACAACCGCCTACCAGGGGAAAGCCCAAATTCTGCCTGCCACAGACTTCCTTTTTTGGAGCGCTGTATTTAGAATATCACGTTGGGTTCCGGTGAAGAAGTCAGGTGAAGGAACAGCCCTTCCCGAAGGGGCTGCCCTATAAGACACCGGGCGTACATTCAGGGATTAAGAACAGGAAGAGATGGTCAGAGTTTTGGACTCCAGAGCTTGGAGGACAGGCAAATTTGGGAGCACAAAACTGCACGAAGTTAACTTTCAAAACCAACCACTTGGGTTTTATGGAACGGAAACTTCCGTAAGGTTTTTAGGAGGGGGAGAAGGGCAACAACGGAGGAATCCGTCGACTAGGGAAAACTTGTTTTGACCTCCATAGTTCTCGCTTTTTGCTACCGCCCGTGACCGAGGCTACATAAATGAACGATGCGGATTGGCTCCTTTGTTTATCCATTTGCCGGGATACAGAAGCAAAGATGAGGCTGAGATGAGGGCAGGAGTCAGTGCCAGAAGAGGTGTCTAGTCCAAACGCTCTTACCCCGACGATGGCCTTCAGCTCGTCGTGACCGTCCCACTCGTTGCTGTAGATCTCCTGCAGGGTTTCTGACACTCGTTTTGAGCTTTCATGCATCACTGAGAGGAGAGAAGTCACGTCTAGCATAAAGTTTCCCCCAAAGTAGGCTGGTATAATCATACGGGTGGACAGGCAAAATCAGTGGGTCTACTTCAGAAGGACGCAGACCAAGAAGGTTTGGGTTATCCGTGAGTTGCTCTTGCTCTGCCCACACGCCCCGGGACTCAGGGGCAGGCAAGTAAGTGATCAAACGCCTGAGAATGGTTGTCTTTCTTTCCGCGCTCAGACTTCTCAGGAGCTCGAATCCCCTGTGCTACGCCATACCCACCTTTGACGGCGCTAAGGAAGTTCTTCAGGTCCTTGTAGAGCTTCTGGCCTTCTGCCTGAAAGGGAGAAGTGCTTTCAGTGACTGAACAGATACGTTTGGAAAGACGCCTTAGAGGTCAAAGTTGAAAAGTAGGTTCAAAGCAGACGTCAATCCTGGAATCCGCAAATGTTATAAATGAGCCTCTGTTCTCTTTACCAAGAAGTTGTAGGTTATCTTTTTGGGGGCGATCTTTAAGTTGGGAGATTGTTCCCATGGCACTGGCAGATTTTCTTTCCTCTGTTTGTTCTCCCATCCAGTGAACAAAAGCCTATGCCCCGGGTTCCTCTGCTGGAAATATGTGTCCTCCGTGACCCTGTGGGTTATACCTTCCTCTCTGGGTTAAGTACATTGCTACCATCTTCTTAAGACAGTAGGTCTTCTCCCTCCTGTGCACCCTGACCATTCCTCTCCTCTCCTGATGTCCTTCTCTGCCTTGCCTCACTTTACCCTTCCCTTCCATCAGTCACATGTTTTACACTCTCCTTCAAACAGCCTCATCACTGATTCTCCTCCTGTTCCAACATCAATAGCTTCATCCATAGCTCTATCCATCTACCCAATTCTTTCTTTGTTCCCGTGTTTGAACTCTCATTTTTTAAAAATATTTAATCTTGAGAGAGAGACAGAGATAGAGACAGAGAAAAAGTGTGTGAGTGAGTGGGGTAGGGGTAGAGACAGAAAGAGGGACAGAGGATCCAAAGGGATCCAAAGTAGGCTCCGTACCCACAGCAGAGAGCCTGATGTGGGGCTGGAACTCATGAGCCATGGGATCATGACCTAAGCCGAAGTTGGATGCTTAACTGACTGAGCCACCCAGGTGCCCCTGAATTCTCATTTTTTAAGGCTAGGACTCCCAAGCACAGATTAGATCTCCTCCCTAAAAAAAAAAAAAAAAGGGGGGGGGTGCCTGGGTGGCTCAGTCAGTTAAGCGGCCGACTTCGGCTCAGGTCATGATCTCGCAGTCCGTGAGTTCGAGCCCCGCGTCGGGCTCTGTGCTGACACCTCAGAACCTGGAGCCTGTTTCAGATTCTGTGTCTCCCTCTCTCTGCCCCTCCCCTGCTCATGCTCTGTCTCTCTCTGTCTCAAAAATAAATAAACGTTAAAAAAAATTTAAAAAAAAAAGGGGGGGGAAGAGAGGAAGGTATCATTTAAGTTTGGAAGTTTTTCTCTCAACCCCACAGGTGACCCACTTCTGTTTTAACTCTGACAAATGTTCACTGAGCCTCTGCTTCTTGAATCCAGCAACCAGAAACTCGTGACTTCTTGCTGAGACTGTGCTTCAATTTAAAATAGCCCTAGGGGCACTTGGGTGGCTCAGTCTGTTAAGCGTCTGACCCTCAATCTCAACTCTGATCGTGATCTCTCGGTTCGTGAGCTCGAGCCCCGTGTCGAGCTCTACACTGTCGGTGTGGAACCTGCTTGGGAATCTGTCTCTGCCCTTCCCCCTGCACTGTCTGTCTGTCTGTCTGTCTGTCTCTCTCTCAAAATAAATAAATAAATTTCAAAAAAAAAGGTTCTATTAGAACTTGTGCCCATTGGTCTTAGGCTGGCCTTCTGTACTCAGAGTAGATCTGCTTTCTCTTGCACATATGTTTGAAGACATCTGTCACATACCCCGCACCAAGTCTTCTCTTTCAAAGGCTTCCTCTGTTGTTCCTCATGGTGTTATTTAAAGCTCCTTCCAACTCTGGTCTCTTGCCTCTGTGTGAACTCCAGTTTCTGGGAGTTGAGGCTAGACCATTGACCTCTTGGAGCCTGACTTCAGGAACGTGGGCTTGGACTGAAAGGTGCAGTCCACTTGAGGGGGTTTCCTGGGGCCAGACCTGTGGGTCAGGACAGTGACCTTCACGCCAGCTCAGGTGAAGGGGTATTTAAGTTGCGATGCATTATTATGAAGTATACCCATAAGCTACTTGCTCATTTATTTTATTTGTTTGTGGTCATCACTAGATAGGCTATTGAGCATACCAAAAGTATAAAGAAATGTATGGGAGGAAAAACTGAAAATTCAGAAAAGTCTAACAACTTAAACTTTTTTTTTTTTAATCTGTGGAAATCTTTGCAGGAAGGATGATTACTGTGAACACAGCAGAAAATCTAGGTCAACTCAGGGTCAAAGTAAACTGGACTAATTATTTCATCCATCTTTTTGCCTCCAGCGCTTACTTCTAAGCCAGTCCAAACTTAAAAAAAATTTTTTTTAGCATTTATTCATTTTTTGAGGGACAGAGAGAGAGCATAAGCGGGGGAGGGGCAGAGAGAGGGGGAGACACAGAATCCGAAAGATGCGGGGCTTGAACTCATGAAACGTGAGATCATGACCGGAGCCAAAGTCGGACGCTTAACTGACTGAGCCACCCAGGCGCCCCAGCCAGTCCAAACCCTTCACCATACTTCAGGTTGAAAGTCCTGGGAGCTGGGATGCCTTTAAGCATCTGACTTCAGCTCAGGTCATGATCTTGCAGTTTGTGAGTTTCAGCCCCACATCGGGCTCTCTGCTGTCAGCACCGAGACCACTTTGGATCCTATGTCCCCCTCTCTCTCTGCCCCTTCCCTGCTTGTACTCTCTCTCTCTTAAAAGTAAATAAACATTAAAGAAAAGAAAAAAGAAAAGAAGAGAAGAGAAGAGAAGAGAAGAGAAGAGAAGAGAAAAGAAAAGAAAAGAAAAGAAAAGAAAAGAAAAGAAAAGAAAAGAAAAGAAAAGAAAAGAAAAGTCAAGTCCTTGGAGCTGAATGCCAGGGCTCTAGGGACATGAACACGCAGTCTCAAGGGCGTCTAAGACACTGTCAGGGAAGTGGGAAAAGAACCTGCATTGTGCGGTATTTCACAGCAAGTGAGGATCAGGAGAACATCAGAGAAATGACCGGCGGGCGGGGGGCGGGGGGGAGGTGGGTTCAGATGTTATAGAGAGGTTAGAGTGCAGGAACAACTGGTCACAGTAACTGGACTTGGTAACTGGAGGTCACTGGTAATCTTGAGAAAGTGCTTTCAATAGCATGATGGAGACGGTCAGTCAGCCACCAAAATTCAGAAACACTCAGCATTCATCAGGAAGGATGTTTCACTTCCTTCTTGCTTTTTCATTCATGGGAAAAAAGTTGACACAGCCTAAGATGTTAAACGTGCATAAAAGCTTTTAAAGATGGAAATGGTAGGTGGGTGTAAGTTTGAGAGTTTTTAAAATGTGACAGCCAAGGTTTGAAAGAGTTTTGAGGATTATAAAAATTAACAAGGATTTCAAGTTCCTTTTTTTTTTAATTTTTTTTTCTTAATGTTTTTTATTTATTTTTGAGACAGAGACAGAGCATGAGCAGGGAAGGGGCAGAGAGAGAGGGAGACACAGAATCGGAAGCAGGCTCCAGGCTCTGAGCCATCAGCACAGAGCCCGATGTGGGGCTCGAACTCACAGACCGTGAGATCATGACCTGAGCTGAAGTTGGATGCTCAACCGACTGAGCCACCCAGGTGCCCCTCAAGTTCCTTTTTGAAAGAAAACAAAATGAACTCAACTTTTTACTTCACCATGAAGATTTGGTCTCTAAAGTACATATTGCAGTAACAAAACCTGTTAAACCATCTTGCATAATTTCTTTTTTTTTAAATTTTTTTAAATGTTTATTCATTTTTGAAAGACAGAGACAGAGCACAAGCAGGGATGGGGCAGAGAGAGAGGGGGGACACAAAATCCAAAGCAGGCTGCAGGCTCTGAGCTGTCAGCACAGAGGCCGACGCGGGGCTCGAACCCACGAACCGCGAGATCATGACCTGAGCCGAAGTTGGATGCTCAATGGACTGAGCCACCCAGGCGCCCCCATCTTGCATAATTTCTACAAATGAAATTCAAATTGTTTTTATCCCATTAGACATTATATGGCCCGACAAATCCGACCAGTAATCAAGGCTACCGTGCATGACCATGCACTTGTATGTATGCTGTTCAAAACCAGGGGGTTCTACTGATACCAGAGTCCATAAAATGTGAATGCCTTCTGCCTTCCGTGGCACCTCACAAAAGCCTAACTCCCCTTCTGTGTTTTAGGATCAAGCTTCCAGGTCAAAGTTCTTCCTTTAGGCTCTTGCTCTTTCCTTTGAGGAGATGAAGTGTGTGTGTGTGTGTGTGTGTGTGTGTGTGTGTATGGGGGGGGGAGCGGTAATGGAAAGTGGGGTAGCGGGACGCCTGTGGGTGTCATTTTATTTCACTGACCTGTCTGCCCTCCTACCCTGAAATGTCTCCAGGCTGAAGAATCCTAGCCTTCTTCTTCAGGTGTGACTTTTACAGTCTTAGCTTCCTCCCTGTCTGTGAGTCAAAGACTTGCAAGTTATTCCACTTTTCCGGTTCCAGTTTCCTCATCTATAAATGTCGGGTCAGACCATTTCTAGCCCTAAATCTTATCATTTTAGCACTTCCGCTCTCTGAATACCTGGCCAAATTCTTGGCATCACCATAAAGAGTCTGACTTGGTCCTTCCAACCCCTATATAAACAGCCCCAGCCCTCAGGTAACGGACCATTCGCTGTGGAAGCTTGTCCTAAACCCTCAGGTAGACAGAGCTGTGTCCTAAGAGACTGCGGTACTGAGGATGGAGAAGAAAGTCCCTGTCCTGGGGCTCTCCACTTGCTGGAGAGAAATGGACTCAGAGAAACCCAAACGCTCAGCACAATAGTAAGTAGCCTGAAGGTCCAGGAGCAAGCTCTAGAAATGCTCCATCTAATGGAGGCCCAGAGGGGAGACGATTGTTGGGTTTGATTTTAAAGGCAATGAATTGGAAGCAGCTGTCACTACCAGAAATAAGAGATTAAAATGCTGCTTGGGGAAAATAATTCTTCCTCTATAATATGTTTTGAAGGGCGGGGGGGGGGTGGAAGGAAATGGGCAAGTAAACAAAGCCTTCAAAGAAAACTTACCTATGGAAATTTGATTAGGAACCTGGGCCAGTGGCCAGGCCCTTGAAATCAGGCTGGGAAGTTTGGGAGTGATATTTATTTATTTATAAAAAAATTTGTTACGACATTTAT